TCTCTTCATTCAGGCAGCCGCTGACTGCTGAGGCTGACAAACCAAGGTCAGCAAGTAAAACGGCACAGTCCCAAAATTAGCAAGCAACATGGCAGGCCACTAATTCAAGTCCGTTAACAGTACCCAGATCAGTAGGTAACATGGCAGACTTGCTGAATGACAGCTGGGCTACATGCAGGATTCAAGTGTGCCAAAAGCTGCGGAGACTATTCTCAAAGCTTCTTATGCTGGAAGCAGACCATGTCCCTAAGGCAGCTACTCAGCTGCTCCAGTAGAGTCCACCATGGAGTCGATGACCAGTCTCCTCATGCGGAGTAACTACACCCTGCTGCCCAGCCACTCAAAACTCAATGCAATGGAGCCGGCCCCAAGTCTACACACAACCTGAACTACCACAGCCTCCTTGTAGTCCTCTGCCAGGAACCTTACGCCCATTGTGAGGGGGGACAGAGAAGCAATCCCAATGAACTCAATACCACCTCAGTCAGTCTTTTATTTAAAACATAGAGATTTTCCCTCTAATCAGCAACCCCCATCCCCAAAAGTGTACCTTCCTAAATTTTTTTCACTTTGTTCATTTTCAAAAAGAAAAAAAAGGCCACAAAGTAAAACATTTTCTTACAAACTAAAGGGCTATTTCTGCATAGCCCTATAATTCCAAGTTCACAGCCAAAGGCCTGCAGTGTCTCGTTGCTCCTTCTCTGCGTTCATTAGCCATCACTGCCACCAACAGTCCAGGGGTGAGAAAACAGGAGCTGAAAGGCCATCTGCATGGGTCCTGGCAGAGGAAAGGTCTCTAAAGACCATGCTGCTTTCCTTCTCCAGGTAATCCCTGCTAGATGAAAAACGGAGAAGGAAGCTTCTATGCGCTACATGCCTTTGTAGCACTCGATCCATCGTTTGATGTATAGGAAGCACCCATGATACTGCATCAATCAAAATTCACCTTGAAGCGGCCCTGGTGTCCCAGGACAAGGAAAGCACCGATTCTTGTGTCTTGGGAGGCTCTGTGCAGATGTTCTCTGCTGTACCAAAGAGGCCACAGCAGAATCCTGCAGAACGCCAGCGCACGGTGAGACTCATATTCTAGGAGTCCCTCAAAACACATGCTCCTTCATCTTGTGCATTGGAAGTCTGTGTTCCTTCT